GTAGAAAGGAGGATAATAGTTCCTTAGGAGTTCCTTAGGCTTCCAAAAGATCAAAGGACAGTACACACAGCTCTTACTGAAAGGAAGAAGTCATAAGTACACTTAATCAAACAGGAGTGGTAGTGCTTGATAACATGTCAGTGGAGGTGATGGTAATGATTTCTTAGTATTTCAGCTTAAATCCAGTTGTGTATGAGTAATACTGACAAATAATTGAACAAGTCTCTACTTTCCTATTGAACTTTACTATTGAACTCTATATTGCAATGCTTGGAAGATTTATGGCTGAGAAATTCTTTTATGGAGAGCCAGTATCTCTTGTATGAAACTCTCTTCTTTGAGAGTTGAATGTGACAGCTTGACTGGTCTACTTAGAAATCAAGCTGTTCCTAATGAATGGCTTTAGGTGTGTGAAAAGCTTTTTCAAGACAATGGCTGGAAGCGTGTCAAAATCCCAGATTCCATGGAATGTCATACAGCCTTAGTCTTCTGGGTTTGTAGCAGGAGAGCAGAGTATGTCTATAAATCACACCTATTTTTTAAGGAGAGGGGAAATTCTTGCTACCATGTAACTCCATTCATATGGAAACTTGTGTATCAAAATTAAGTCCATAAATCCAGCAGCAGGTTTGGATGCTTTTTATAGGTAGAATAGTTGGAAATAGCTATGCAAATAGTATAGGCCACTATATGTGTCGTGTTTCCCAGTCATAGGAGAAGAGTCAGGAGCAGGAAAACAGATGATGAGAGACACCAGTGTTTGAAGACCATGGTTATAATGTGAAATGCTTAACAAAGAGATTCTTTGTGTATCAAAATTAAGTCCATAAATCCAGCAGCAGGTTTGGATGCTTTTTATAGGTAGAATAGTTGGAAATAGCTATGCAAATAGTATAGGCCACTATATGTGTCGTGTTTCCCAGTCATAGGAGAAGAGTCAGGAGCAGGAAAACAGATGATGAGAGACACCAGTGTTTGAAGACCATGGTTATAATGTGAAATGCTTAACAAAGAGATTCTTTGTTTATTGTGTCATTTCTGGAGTGTGCACCCTTAACTCTTAGCTCTTGGTCGGTTTCTCCAAATGATCTTTATTGGTAGAATGGACTGACTCATCTAAATAAGTCTGAGAGTTTATTATGTAAACATTCAAAGCTTTAAACTGTTTCCTTGAAGTACTTACTGTAATGGGCCAGGTGGTAAACTTGCCTGGTTTTATAACTGCTTTTCTTTTTTGGCATCTAGGTACATCTTACTTGGAATGGTTTACATCCTACGTAAACAAAGTTGTGACTGGTGGTTATCCCATCATCAGAGACCAGATTTTCAGGTATTGTGACTGGGATTTATAACCTCGCTGCAAGGTTGGGATGCTCCTGTTAGAATGCTGACCTCTTCCCAAGTGCTTACGGGTATCTGATGATAAAGCTGATGGTGGAGAGAGGATATTAAACTTATTGCAGATGAAGCAGTAAAACAGAATAGCTAAAGAATTTTTTTTTGCTGATGGTGGAGAGAGGATATTAAACTTATTGCAGATGAAGCAGTAAAACAGAATAGTTAAAGAAATATTTTTTTTAGCAGAAGCTTTACAGTTTGTAACTTTGTGTTAACGGGACCAGAATTTTGCATTATAACTGATCTGAAGCTCAGCAAACAGCATAATATTTATTCTGCTTGCCATGAGTGTGCTGCAGCTGCAGGACTGTCCTGAGTTATTAAAAAAGCAATTGTTTCAGTGAACTGGTTTCTAAAATAACACTGAAACAGGACCTTTCTGGTGTTTAAATCTCCATGCACTTTTTATTTCTTCTAGTTATAAGCAAGAACCTTATAATTACATCAAACTGAGGTGCTGTAGAACCAAGTTCCTGCTCTGTAAATTAATTTGCTGTGGGAGTTGCTATTTTTTGGTTTTTAAATAGCATAACAACACATCTTTGTTAAACAAGAGTGTCTTCGTTGACTTCAGATCGAATTATGCGCTCAGCTTCATACAGGCATTAATGAAAGTACAAATTGATCAATAGCTGTATGAATTTAGGTGATGGGGAAGTATGGGTCATGAAGACACCACATGCATCCCTTATTTAAAAGCCAAATGACAAGTTAAGAACTACTTTTAACCTAGCACTACAGTGCTCTTATTAGTAATTAACTAAATCACTTTATATGTTTAGATTTCTGAATTGAATGCACTGAGCTATTTGCAGAGTTAATGTTTTCCTTTCTGTAGGTACGTGCACGATAAAGAGTGTGTTGCCACCACTGGAGATATAACAGTTTCCGTGTCCACATCTTTTCTACCTGAACTCAGTTCTGTACATCCACCACATTATTTCTTCACTTACAGAATCAGGTAAAAGTAATTACTGAATTAACTCTTACAACATGGGAAAGACCTATGTAATGTTCAAAGGATCAGTTTTTGCAAGTTTATGGACATTCATAAATGTACTAAAATAATTAGGATGTGCTCAACTTGCTGTACTTTTAAATAAAAAAACATGGAATCATTGCCTGGTCAGGGATGCAAAGTACCAGCCAAGTTGGTAATTGGTTAAATACACTGATAGGTGGGGGAAAGAAGGGAGGGGGTCAATAACAATTTAGGGAGGGGTCAATAACAATAGATAGTGAAGCAGAGACATGAGGATGATCCTGACAACTGATTCACTATACTTCACCTTAAGGGTTTTTGTGGGCTTTTTTTTTCCTCAGTCTGCTTGGAAAGAGAGCCCAAGGATACTAAAGCATTTCTTAACACATGTGAAAGTAGTTAACTAACATTGAGTGTGGTGTTTGGCTTCCAGAATTGAAATGTCCAAAGATGCTCTTCCTGAAAAGGCTTGCCAGCTGGACAGTCGATACTGGAGAATAACAAATGCCAAAGGTGATGTAGAAGAAGTTCAGGGACCTGGAGTAGTTGGTAAGTAAAAGATTGCTTTTATGAACCCAATAGAGAGAGAGTGTTTCTGTATTTCATGTGCATGTTATGGAAGTTGTGTTATTTGCTGCTCCTCATGGTGACAGAGGGTGGTAGTTGTATGGTTTGCATCAAAATCATTTTGTTGCTTGAAACAGACATATCCATCTGTTTCGTCTTCAGACTTGTTTTCCAAGGGATATCTGAACATCCTGATAGTTAACCACTTGTCAGACTGCTTTTTAACATCAATAGTTGCTGAGAATCTTTTATGCACTGGAATATAAAATGATCCATCTGAATATGGTGTGTAGTGCAATTGCTTTAGCAAACTGCTAAATACATCAATAGTTGCTGAGAATCTTTTATGCATCCACTGGAATATAAAATGATCCATCTAAATATGGTGTGTAGTGCAAGTGCTTTAGCAAACTGCTAAACTGTAGTTCTGCTTCAGACCTCACTATTGTCATCTAATATTTTACCAACAGGGGAGTTTCCAATTATCAGTCCAGGGAGAGTCTATGAATATACCAGCTGTACCACGTTTTCTACAACATCTGGATACATGGAGGGATATTACACCTTCCACTGCCTCTACTACAAGGACAAATTCTTTAATGTCACAATTCCCAGATTTCATATGGTGTGTCCAACATTCAAGGTGTCTACAGCACGAATGGTAAGTGCAGATGCAGTTCTGCTTGTGGTACATTATTTTTTTTATGTTAACGTCACAATTCCCAGATTTCACATGGTGTGTCCAACATTCAAGGTGTCTACAGCACGAATGGTAAGTGCAGATGCAGTTCTGCTTGTGATGCATTATTTTCTTATAATTTTCATTAGTTCTCACTAAAGTGCATTTCATAAAGTCATTTAATGACTTTGCAAATTGGTAAGATGTTTAGCTGACTGTTAATTAGTTTAAGTTTAGGCACTAAAGTGCATTTCATAAAGTCATTTAATGACTTTGCAAATTGTTAAGATTGGAAGTGAATGGTATAATTTCTCCCTTTGGCACATTTAGAGAAGAACACTTTATTTTCTCGCTAGCACAGCCTTTATTTAGTGACTAATTCAGCTAGAAATTGAAAGCTTTTGTGCAAGCATGGAGTCTTTCCTTGAGGACAGATGTCTACTTGGACACTTTCTTAAATTTTTGCAGGGGTTTGACACTCTCATGACCAGTAGCTCTAACAGGTGCCAGCAGATGTCGTGCTTCTCACAGAAAATGCCATCTCTTAACTCCTGCTCACATTTCTGGGAGTTGTAACCTCCTTCCATTCACTTGATTGTAAAAAATAATTTGCTTTTTTCTTTTGCTCTACCTCTGTTTTAAAGATAGTAATGACTCTCTTTTTATTAAACTTTTTATTTAATTATTAATACTTTTTATTAAAAGACAACATAAGCCACCGAGAAAATGAGTACAACTCAAATACCAATTGTGGCTTTACATAATTATATGTATGAAATAATGAAAGCTAACGGGTATTTTCTGAGTTAAAGGTCAAATAGTTTGGCAAAACGATCTCTCTTGCAAATTAAATTGCTCATATAATTGCAATGAGCTGGTTTTAGGACATAGAGTCCAGTGTCTGCTCCAGCTACTGACGCAGTAATACAGACTTCAGATTTTTCTAGGGAATTGTTAGTGCTTTTTTAGAACTAGCTGGAATAGAAGATTTTAATTAAGTCTGCGTGTATTTTGTGTTAGGAACCAAATCATAATGAATATGCAGTGGATGAAGATGAAGATTCCACAGACACCGACGAATACGAAGATCGACGTAGAGTGTTGGACATTCCTGCACCTTCTGGACGCTGCCCACGTCACACCTGATGGGGTGGTTTTTTTTTCCCAACAAACTGTTTTCAGAAGCTGAACTCTCTGGGGCTAGTGCATAAGAATATTTCTGACTATTGTAAATGAACTTTCTGTTGCACATTGGGGCAACTAGCATGAATGTTGGTGCCAGTTCTAATATTCATCAGAGTATAACTTCTTTTTTTTTTATTTT